TACTACTAATAATACTACTACTAATATTACTACTACTACTACCAGTACTACTACTAGTACTACTACTAATACTACTAGTACTGATACTACTACTACTGCTACTACTAGTACTACTAATACTACTACTAGTACTACTACTACTAGTACTACTACTACTACCACCAATACTACTACTACTAGTACTACTAGTAGTACTACTACTACTACAAGTACTACTACTACTACTAGTACTAGTATTACTACTACTACTAGTACTACTACTACTACTAGACTACTACTACTATTAGTACTACTAATACTAGTACTAATAATACTACTACTACTACTAGTACTACTACTACTACTACTACTAGTACTACTACTACTACTAGTACTACTACTAGTAGTATGAGTACTACTACATACTACCAGTACTAATAACACGACTACTACTTCTAGTACAACTACTAGTACTACTAGTAATACTACTACTACTAGTAATACTACTACTACTAGTACTACTACTACTAGTACTACTACTACTAGTACTTCTACTAATACTACTACTAGTACTACTACTAGTATACTACTACTAATAAAATAACTACTACTACTACTTCTACTTCTACTACTACTACTAGTACTACTATTACTGCTAGTACTACTACTAATACTACTACTAGTACTACTACTAGTACTATTACTACTCCTATCACTACTACTACTATTCCTACCAATACTAATACTACTACTAATAGTACTAATATTATTAGTAGTATTATATACACTACTACTACTACTACTAGTACTCCTAATAATAGTACTAATAGTACTACTAATAATACTACTACTACTACTAGTACTCCTCATACTACTACTACTAGTACTACTACTAATACTACTACGACTATTAGTACTACTACTACTAGTACTACTTCCACTAGTACTACTACTACTACTAGTACTAATACTACTACTACTACCAGTACTACTACTAGTACTACTACTACTAATAGTACTACTAGTACTACCACTATTACTACTACTAGTACTACTACTAGTACTATTAATATTACTACTATTACTACTAGTAGTACTAATACTAATACTACTAGTGCCACTACTACTACTAGTACTACTACTACTAGTACTACTTCTACTACTAGTACTACAACTAATACTATTACTACTACTACTATTACTAGTACTAATATTATTATAATTAATATTACTAATACTACTACTACTACTAGTATTAATAATACTGCTACTACTAATACTACTACTAATAGTACTATTACTAATACTAGTACTACTACTACTAATACTACTACTCTACTACTAGTATTACTAATACTACTAGTACTACTACTACTACTAATACACTACTGTTACTACGACTACTACTAGTACTATTACCAGTACTACCAGCGCTAATATTAACATTAATAATACTATTACTACTACTTGTACTACTACTAATACTCTTTGTACTACTACTACTACTACCGTACTAATACTACTAGTAGTACTACTACTAATACTACTAGTACCACTACTACTACCACTACTACTACTACTATATATATATACTACTACTAGTACTACTACTACTACTAGTAATACTACTACTAGTAATACTACTACTAGTACTACTACTATACTACTAATACTACTACTACTACTACTAGTATTACAACTATTAGTACTATTACTAGTAATACTACTACTACTGGTACTAATACTTGTACGACTAATACTATTACAACTAGTACTAGTACTACTAATACTACTACTACTAGTACTACTAATACTAGTACTACTACTACTACTAGTACTACTACTACTACTACTAGTACTACTACTAGTACTATGAGTACTATTACTACTACTACCAGTACTAATAACACGACTACTACTACTAGTACAACTACTAGTACTACTAGTAATACTACTACTACTACTAGTAATAATACTACTAGTAATACTACTACTACTAGTACTACTACTACTAGTACTACTACTACTAATACTACTACTAGTACTACTACTAGTATACTACTACTAATAAAAGTACTACTACTACTGCTACATCTACTACTACTACTAGTACTACTATTACTACTAATACTACTACTAATACTACTACTAGTACTACTACTAGTACTACTACTACTCCTATTACTACTACTAATATTCCTACCAATAATAATACTACTACTAATAGTACTAATATTATTACTAGTATTACTAACACTACTACTACTAGTACTCCTAATAATAGTACTAATAGTACTACTAATAATACTACTACTACTACTAGTACTCCTCCTACTACTACTAGTACTACTACTAATACTACTACGACTATTAGTACTACTACTACTAGTACTACTTCCACTAGTACTACTACTAATACTAGTACTAATACTACTACTACTACTACCAGTACTACTACCAGTACTACTACTACTACTATCACTGATACTACTACTACTATTGCTACTACTAGTACTACTACTACTACTAGTGCTACTACTACTAATACTAGTACTATTACTACTACCACTACTACTAGTACTAGTACTACTAGTATTACTACTACTACTTTTCTACTAGTACTACTACTACCACTAGTACTACTACTACTACTACTATTAGTAATAATACTACAACTTCTAGTACTACAATTAATACTAGTACTACTACTACTACTACAACTACTACTAGTACTACTACTACTAGTATTAGTACTACTAGTACTAATACTACTACTATTACTACTAGTAATACTACTACTATTAGTACTACTACTACTACTAGTATTACTACTACTATAATACTACTAGTAATACTACTACTACCAGTACTAATACTAGTACTACTAATACTATTACTACTAGTACTAGTACTACTAATACTACTACTACTAATACTACTAATACTAGTACTACTACTACTAGTACTACTACTACTACTACTACTAGTACTACTACTACTACTTCCAGTGCTACTACTACTACTACTAGTACTACTACTAGTACTATGAGTACTATTACTACTACTACCAGTACTAATAACACGACCACTACTACTAGTACAAATACTAGTACTACTAGTAATACTACTACTACTAGTACTACTACTACTAGTACTACTACTACTAGTACTACTACTAATACTACTACTAGTACTACTACTAGTATACTACTACTAATAAAAGTACTAATACTGCTGCTACATCTACTCCTACTACTAGTACTACTATTACTACTAATACTACTACTAATACTACTACTAGTACTACTACTAGTACTACTACTACTCTTATTACTACTACTAATATTCCTACCAATATTAATACTACTATAAATAGTACTAATATAATTACTAGTATTACTAACACTACTACTACTACTAGTACTCCTAATAATAGTACTAATAGTACTACTAATAATACTACTACTACTACTAGTACTCCTCCTACTACTACTACTAGTACTACTAGTAATACTACTACGACTATTAGTACTACTACTACTAGTACTACTTCCACTAGTACTACTACTATTACTAGTACTAATACTACTACTACTACTACCAGTACTACTACCAGTACTACTACTACTATTGCTACTAATAGTACTACTACTACTACTAGTACTACTACTACTATTACTAATAATACTACTACTACTACTAGTACTACTACAACTACTACTACTAGTACTACTACTACTACTAGTACTACTACTACTACTAGTACTACTACTAGTACTATGAGTACTACTACTACTACCAGTACTAATAACACGACTACGACTACTAGTACAACTACTAGTACTACTAGTAATACTACTACTACTACTAGTATTAATACTACTAGTAATACTACTACTACTAGTACTACTACTACTAGTACTACTACTAATACTACTACTAGTACTACTACTAGTATACTACTACTAATAAAAGTACTAATACTACTGCTACATCTACTACTACTACTAGTACTACTATTACTACTAGTACTACTACTAATACTACTACTAGTACTACTACTAGTACTACTACTACTCCTATTACTACTACTACTATTCCTACCAATACTAATACTACTACTAATAGTACTAATATTATTACTAGTATTACTAACACTACTACTACTACTAGTACTCCTAATAATAGTACTAATAGTACTACTAATAATACTACTACTACTAGTACTCCTCCTACTACTACTACTAGTACTACTACTAATACTACTACGACTATTAGTACTACTACTACTAGTACTACTTCCACTAGTACTACTACTAATACTAGTACTAATACTATTACTACTACTACCAGTACTACTACTAGTACTACTACTACTAGCTCTGATACTATTACTACTATTGCTACTACTAGTACTACTACTACTACTAGTGCTACTACTAATAATACTAGTATTATTACTACTACCAATACTACTACTATTAGTACTACTACTACTACTAGTACTAGTACTACTAGTATTACTACTACTACTTTTCTACTAGTACTACTACTACCACTAGTACTACTACTACTTCTAGTACTACTATTAATACTAGTACTACTACTACTACTACAACTACTACTAGTACTACTACTACTACTAGTACTAGTACTACTAGTACTAATACTACTACTATTACTACTAGTACTACTAATACCACTAGTACTACTACTACTACTAGTACTACTACTACTACTACTAGTAATACTACTACTACTTCTAGTACTACTACTAATACTAGTACAACTACTACTACTACAACTACTACTAATAATACTACTACTAATATTACTACTACTACTACCAGTACTACTACTAGTACTACTACTACTACTAGTACTACTAATACTACTACTACTACTAGTACTACCAATACTACTACTACTACTAGTACTACTACTACTAGTACTATTACTAATACTACTACTACTACTACTACTACTACTACTACTACTAGTAATACTAATAGTACTACCAGTCTACTACTAATACTACTAGTACTACTACTACTAGTACTTCTACTACTACTACTACTAGTATTATTACTAATACTATTAGTACTACTACTACTACTAGTAATACTACTACTACTAATACTACTACTACTACCACCAATACTACTACTACTAGTAGTACTACTACTACTACAAGTATTACTACTACTACTAGTACAAGTATTACTACTAATACTACTACTACTACTACTAGTACTACCACTAGTACTACTACTACTACTATTACTACTACTACTAGTCCTACCAATACTACTACTACTACTACTAGTACTACTACTACTACTACTAGTCCTACCAATACTACTACTACTACTACTAGTACTACTACTACTACTACTAGTCCTACCAATACTACTACTACTACTACTAGTACTATTACTAATACTACTACTACTACTACTACTACGACTACTACTAGTAATACTAATAGTACTACCAGTGCTACTACTAATACTACTAGTACTACTACTACTAGTACTTCTACTACTACTACTACTAGTATTATTACTAATACTATTAGTACTACTACTAATACTACTATTAATACAACTACTACCACTACTACTACTACTACTAGTATTACTACGACTACTAGTACTACTACCACTACTAGTACTAATACTACTAGTACTACTACTAATACTAGAATTACTACTGGTACTACTATTAGTACTAGTAGTACTAATACTAATACTACTAGTAACACTACTACTATTAATCCTAATTTTACTAGTACTACTACTAATACTAGTACTACAACTAATACTATTACTACTACTACTACTACTAGTACTAATATCATTATAACTAATAATACTACTACTAATACTACTAGTACTACTACAATTACTACTACTAGTACTACTTCTACTATTAGTACTAATACTACCACTAATAGTATTACTACTAGTATACTACTACTAATACTATTACTACTACTACTTCTAGTACTACTACTACTAATAATAGTATTACTAATAGTATACTACTACTACTACTAGTACTACTACTACTATTAATACTACTATTAGTCCTACCAGTACTACTAATACTAGTAATACTACTACTACTACTGGTATTACTAATACTGCTACTAATACTAGTACTACTATTACTAATATTAATATTACTAATACTAGTACTACTACTAGTACTACTACTACTAGTACTACTACTACTACTATTACTAATACTACTACTACTACTGCTAGTATTACTACTACTATTACTAATACTACTCCTACTAATAGTACTAATACTACTACTAGTACCACTACTACTACTAATTCTACTATTCCTACTACTAGTATTACTACTACTACGACTACTACTAGTACTACTACTAGCACTACCAGTGCTACTACTAATATTACTAGTACTACTACTACTAGTACTACTACTAATACTACTACTAGTACTACTACTAGTACTACTACTACTCCTATTACTACTACTACTATTCCTACCAATACTAATACTACTACTAATAGTACTAATATTATTACTAGTATTACTAACACTACTACTACTACTAGTACTCCTAATAATAGTACTAATAGTACTACTAATAATACTACTATTACTACTAGTACTACTACTACTACTACTACTAATACTAGTACTACTACTAGTAATACTACTACTAGTACTACTCTTACTAGTACTACTACTAGTACTACTACTACTACTAGTAATACTACTACTACTTCTAGTACTACTACTAATACTAGTACAACTACTACTACTACAACTACTACTAATAATACTACTACTAATATTACTACTACTACTACTACCAGTACTACTACTAGTACTACTACTAATACTACTAGTACGATACTACTACTACTGCTACTACTAGTACTACTACTACTACTAGTACTACTACTACTACTACTAATACTACTACTACTAATACTACTACTACTACAACTAATACTACTACTACTACTACTACTAGTATTACTACTACTACTAGTCCTACCAATACTACTACTACTACTAGTACTACTACTACTACTAGTCCTACCAATACTACTACTACTACTAGTTACTACTACTACTAGTACTACTACTACTAGTACTATTACTAATACTACTACTACTACTACTACGACTACTACTAGTAATACTAATAGTACTACCAGTGCTACTACTAATACTACTAGTACTACTACTACTAGTACTTCTACTACTACTACTACTAGTATTATTACTAATACTATTAGTACTACTACTACTACTAGTAATACTACTACTACTAATACTTCTACTACTACCACCAATACTACTACTACTACTAGTAGTACTACTACTACTACAAGTATTACTACTACTACTAGTACAAGTATTACTACTACTACTACTACTAATACTACTACTACTACTACTAGTACTACTACTACTACTATTACTACTACTACTAGTACTACTAATACTACTACTACTACTACTAGTACTACTACTACTACTACTAGTCCTACCAATACTACTACTACTACTACTAGTACTACTACTACTACTACTAGTCCTACCAATACTACTACTACTACTACTAGTACTATTACTAATACTACTACTACTACTACTACGACTACTACTAGTAATACTAATAGTACTACCAGTGCTACTACTAATACTACTAGTACTACTACTACTAGTACTTCTACTACTACTACTACTAGTATTATTACTAATACTATTAGTACTACTACTAATACTACTATTAATACAACTACTACCACTACTACTACTACTACTAGTATTACTACGACTACTAGTACTACTACCACTACTAGTACTAATACTACTAGTACTACTACTAATACTAGTATTAATACTAGTACTACTATTAGTACTAGTAGTACTAATACTAATACTACTAGTAACACTACTACTATTAATCCTAATTTTACTAGTACTACTACTAATACTAGTACTACAACTAATACTATTACTACTACTACTACTAGTACTAATATCATTATAACTAATAATACTACTACTAATACTACTAGTACTACTACAATTACTACTACTAGTACTACTTCTACTATTAGTACTAATACTACTACTACTAGTACTACTACTACTACTACTACTACTAGTACTACTACTACTACTAGTACTACTACTAATACTACTACTACTAGTAATACTACTACTACTAGTACTACTACTACTACTAGTAATACTACTACTACTAGTACTAGTATTACTACTACTACTACTACTAGTACTACTACTACTAGTACTACTACTACTAGTACTACTACTACTACTAGTACTACTACTACTACTACTAGTACTACTACTACTACTACTAGTACTACTACTACTACTACTAGTCCTACCAATACTACTACTACTACTACTAGTACTACTACTACTACTAGTCCTACCAATACTACTACTACTACTACTAGTACTATTACTAATACTACTACTACTACTACTACTACTACTACTAGTAATACTAATAGTACTACCAGTGCTACTACTAATACTACTAGTACTACTACTACTAGTACTTCTACTACTACTACTACTAGTATTATTACTAATACTATTAGTACTACTACTAATACTACTATTAATACAACTACTACCACTATACTACTACTACTAGTATTACTACGACTACTAGTACTACTACCACTACTAGTACTAATACTACTAGTACTACTACTACTACTAGAATTACTACTGGTACTACTATTAGTACTAGTAGTACTAATACTAATACTACTAGTAACACTACTACTATTAATCCTAATTTTACTAGTACTACTACTAATACTAGTACTACAACTAATACTATTACTACTACTACTACTACTAGTACTAATATCATTATAACTAATAATACTACTACTAATACTACTAGTACTACTACAATTACTACTACTAGTACTACTTCTACTATTAGTACTAATACTACCACTAATAGTATTACTACTAGTATACTACTACTAATACTATTACTACTACTACTTCTAGTACTACTACTACTAATAATAGTATTACTAATAGTATACTACTACTACTACTAGTACTACTACTACTATTAATACTACTATTAGTCCTACCAGTACTACTAATACTAGTAATACTACTACTACTACTGGTATTACTAATACTGCTACTAATACTAGTACTACTATTACTAATATTAATATTACTAATACTAGTACTACTACTAGTACTACTACTACTAGTACTACTACTACTATTACTAATACTACTACTACTACTGCTAGTATTACTACTACTATTACTAATACTACTCCTACTAATAGTACTAATACTACTACTAGTACCACTACTACTACTAATTCTACTATTCCTACTACTAGTATTACTACTACTACGACTACTACTAGTACTACTACTAGCACTACCAGTGCTACTACTAATATTACTAGTACTACTACTACTAGTACTACTACTAATACTACTACTAGTACTACTACTAGTACTACTACTACTCCTATTACTACTACTACTATTCCTACCAATACTAATACTACTACTAATAGTACTAATATTATTACTAGTATTACTAACACTACTACTACTACTAGTACTCCTAATAATAGTACTAATAGTACTACTAATAATACTACTATTACTACTAGTACTACTACTACTACTACTACTAATACTAGTACTACTACTAGTACTACTACTACTAGTACTACTACTACTAGTACTACTACTACTATTACTAATACTACTACTACTACTGCTAGTATTACTACTACTATTACTAATACTACTCCTACTAATAGTACTAATACTACTACTAGTACCACTACTACTACTAATTCTACTACTCCTACTACTAGTATTACTACTACTACTACTACTACTAGTACTACTACTAGTACTACCAGTGCTACTACTAATATTAATAGTACTACTACTACTAGTACTACTACTAATACTACTACTAGTACTACTACTAGTACTACTACTACTACTATTACTACTACTACTATTACTACCAATACTAATACTACTACTAATAATACTAATATTATTACTAGTATTACTAGTACTACTACTACTACTAGTACTACTACTAATAGTACTAATACTACTACTACTAATACTACTATTACTACTAATACTACTACTACTACTACTAATACTACTACTACTACTACTACTAGTATTACTACTACTACTAGTCCTACCAATACTACTACTACTACTAGTACTACTACTACTACTAGTACTACTACTACTACTACTAGTCCTACCAATACTACTACTACTACTAGTACTACTACTACTAGTACTATAACTAATACTACTACTACTACTACTACTACGACTACTACTAGTAATACTAATAGTACTACCAGTGCTACTACTAATACTACTAGTACTACTACTACTAGTACTTCTACTACTACTACTACTAGTATTATTACTAATACTATTAGTACTACTACTACTACTAGTAATACTACTACTACTAATACTACTACTACTACCACCAATACTACTACTACTACTAGTAGTACTACTACTACTACAAGTATTACTACTACTACTAGTACAAGTATTACTACTAATACTACTACTACTACTACTAGTACTACCACTAGTACTACTACTACTATATTACTACTACTACTAGTCCTACCAATACTACTACTACTACTACTAGTACTACTACTACTACTACTAGTCCTACCAATACTACTACTACTACTACTAGTACTACTACTACTACTACTAGTCCTACCAATACTACTACTACTACTACTAGTACTATAACTAATACTACTACTACTACTACGACTACTACTAGTAATACTAATAGTACTACCAGTGCTACTACTAATACTACTAGTACTACTACTACTAGTACTTCTACTACTACTACTACTAGTATTATTACTAATACTATTAGTACTACTACTAATACTACTATTAATACAACTACTACCACTACTACTACTACTACTAGTATTACTACGACTACTAGTACTACTACCACTACTAGTACTAATACTACTAGTACTACTACTACTACTAGAATTACTACTGGTACTACTATTAGTACTAGTAGTACTAATACTAATACTACTAGTAACACTACTACTATTAATCCTAATTTTACTAGTACTACTACTAATACTAGTACTACAACTAATACTATTACTACTACTACTACTACTAGTACTAATATCATTATAACTAATAATACTACTACTAATACTACTAGTACTACTACAATTACTACTACTAGTACTACTTCTACTATTAGTACTAATACTACCACTAATAGTATTACTACTAGTATACTACTACTAATACTATTACTACTACTACTTCTAGTACTACTACTACTAATAATAGTATTACTAATAGTATACTACTACTACTACTAGTACTACTACTACTATTAATACTACTATTAGTCCTACCAGTACTACTAATACTAGTAATACTACTACTACTACTGGTATTACTAATACTGCTACTAATACTAGTACTACTATTACTAATATTAATATTACTAATACTAGTACTACTACTACTACTAGTACTACTACTACTAGTACTACTACTACTACTACTATTACTAATACTACTACTACTACTGCTAGTATTACTACTACTATTACTAATACTACTCCTACTAATAGTACTAATACTACTACTAGTACCACTACTACTACTAATTCTACTACTCCTACTACTAGTATTACTACTAATACTAGTACTATTACTACTACTAGTACTACTACTACTACGACTACTACTAGTACTACTACTAGCACTACCAGTGCTACTACTAATATTACTAGTACTACTACTACTAGTACTACTACTAATACTACTACTAGTACTACTACTAGTACTACTACTACTCCTATTACTACTACTACTATTCCTACCAATACTAATACTACTACTAATAGTACTAATATTATTACTAGTATTACTAACACTACTACTACTAGTACTCCTAATAATAGTACTAATAGTACTACTAATAATACTACTAATACTACTAGTACTCCTCCTACTACTACTACTAGTACTACTACTAATACTACTACGACTATTAGTACTACTACTACTAGTACTACTACCACTAGTACTACTACTACTACTAGTACTAATACTACTACTACTAATAATACTACTACTACTACTAGTACTAATACTACTACTACTACTAGTACTACTACTACTACTACTAGTACTACTACTACTACTAGTACTACTACTACTACTACTAGTACTACTACTAGTACTATGAGTACTACTACTACTACTACCAGTACTAATAACACGACTACGACTACTAGTACAACTACTAGTACTACTAGTAATACTACTACTACTACTAGTAGTAATAATACTAGTAATACTACTACTACCAGTACTACTACTACTAGTACTACTACTAATACTACTACTAGTACTACTACTAGTATACTACTACTAATAAAAGTACTACTACTTCTACTGCTACTTCTACTACTACTACTAGTACTACTATTACTACTAGTACTACTACTAATACTACTACTAGTACTACTACTAGTACTACTACTACTCCTATTACTACTACTACTATTCCTACCAATACTAATACTACTACTAATAGTACTAATATTATTACTAGTATTACTAACACTACTACTACTAGTACTCCTAATAATAGTACTAATAGTACTACTAATAATATACTACTACTACTAGTACTCCTCCTACTACTACTACTAGTACTACTACTAATACTACTACGACTATTAGTACTACTACTACTAGAACTTCTTCCACTAGTACTACTACTAATACTAGTACTAATACTATTACTACTACTACCAGTACTACTACTAGTACTACTACTACTAGCACTGATACTACTACTAATATTGCTACTACTAGTACTACTACTACTAGTACTACTACTAATAATACTAGTAATATTACTACTACCACTACTACTACTATTAGTACTACTACTACTACTAGTACTAGTACTACTAGTATTACTACTACTACTTTTCTACTAGTACTACTAATACCACTAGTACTACTACTACTTCTAGTACTACAATTAATACTAGTACTACTACTACTACTACAACTACTACTAGTACTACTACTACTACTAGTACTAGTACTACTAGTACTAATACTACTACTATTACTAATAGTACTACTAATACCACTAGTACTACTACTACTACTACTACTAGTAATACTACTACTACTTCTAGTACTACTACTAATACTAGTACAACTACTACTACTACAACTACTACTAATAATACTACTACTAATATTACTACTACTACTACCAGTACTACTACTAGTACTACTACTAATACTACTAGTACTGATACTACTACCACCAATACTACTACTACTAGTACTACTAGTAGTACTACTACTACTACAAGTACTACTACTACTAGTACTAGTATTACTACTACTACTAGTACTACTACTACTACTAGTACTACTAATACTAGTACTAATAATACTACTATTACTACTAGTACTACTACAACTACTACTACTAGTACTACTACTACTAGTACTACTACTAGTACTATGAGTACTACTACCACTACTACCAGTACTAATAACACGACTACTACTAGTACAACTACTAGTACTACTAGTAATACTACTACTACTAGTAATACTACTAGTAATACTACTACTACTAGTACTACTACTACTAGTACTACTACTACTAGTACTACTACTAATACTACTACTAGTACTACTACTAGTATACTACTACTAATAAAAGTACTACTACTACTACTACTTCTACTACTACTACTATTACTACTATTACTACTAGTACTACTACTAATACTACTACTAGTACTACTACTAGTACTATTACTACTCCTATCACTACTACTACTATTCCTACCAATACTAATACTACTATTAATAGTACTAATATTATTACTAGTATTATTAACACTACTACTACTACTAGTACTCCTAATAATAGTACTAATAGTACTACTAATAATACTACTACTACTACTAGTACTCCTCCTACTACTACTAGTAGTACTACTACTAATACTACTACGACTATTAGTACTACTACTACTAGTACTACTTCCACTAGTACTACTAATACTACGAGTACTAATACTACTACTAATACTACCAGTACTACTACTACTACTACTACTACTACTAGTACTACTACTACTACCACTACTACTACTAGTAGTACTACTACTAGTAATACTACTACTAGTACTACTACTACTAGTACTACTACTAGTACTACTAGTACTACTACTACTACTAGTACTACTACTACTACTACTAGTATTACAACTCTACTACTACTAGTAATACTACTACTACTAATACTAATACTAGTACTATTAATACTATTACTACTAGTACTAGTACTACTAATACTACTACTAATAGTACTACTAATACTAGTACTACTACTACTAGTACTACTACTACTACTATTACTACTACTACTACTTCCAATGCTACTACTACTACTACTACTAGTACTACTACTAGTACTATGAGTACTATTACTACTACTACCAGTACTAATAACACGACTACTACTACTAGTACAACTACTAGTACTACTAGTAATACTACTACTACTACTAGTATTAATACTACTAGTAATACTACTACTACTAGTACTACTACTACTAGTACTACTACTACTAGTACTACTACTAATACTACTACTAGTACTACTACTAATATACTACTACTAATAAAAGTACTACTACTGCTGCTACATCTACTACTACTACTAGTACTACTATTACTACTAATACTACTACTAGTACTACTACTAGTAGTACTACTACTCTTATTACTACTACTAATATTCCTACCAATATTAATACTACTACTAATAGTACTAATATAATTACTAGTATTACTAACAATACTACTACTACTAGTACTCCTAATAATAGTACTAATAATACTACTAATAATACTACTACTACTAGTACTCCTCCTACTACTACTACTAGTACTACTAGTAATACTACTACGACTATTAGTACTACTACTACTAGTACTACTTCCACTAGTACTACTACTAATACTAATACTAATACTACTACTACTACTACTAGTACTACTACTACTACTATCACTGATACTACTACTACTATTGCTACTACTAGTACTACTACTACTACTAGTACTACTACTACTACTACTAGTAATACTACTACAACTTCTAGTACTACAATTAATACTAGTACTATTACTACTACTACAACTACTACTAGTACTACTACTACTACTAGTACTAGTACTACTAGTACTAATACTACTACTATTACTAATAGTACTACTAATACCACTAGTACTACTACTACTACTAGTACTACTACTACTAGTACTACTACTACTACTACTACTAGTACTACTACTATTACTACTAGTACTACTACTACTACTAGTACTACTACTAGTACTATGAGTACTATTACTACTACTACCAGTACTAATAACACGACTACTACTACTAGTAAAACTACTAGTACTACTAGTAATACTACTACTACTACTAGTAATACTACTACTACTAGTACTACTACTACTAGTACTACTACTACTAGTACTACTACTAATACTACTACTAGTACTACTACTAGTATACTACTACTAATAAAAGTACTACTACTACTACTGCTAATTCTACTACTACTAGTACTACTATTACTACTAGTACTACTACTAATACTACTATTAGTACTACTACTACTCCTATTACTACTACTAATATTCCTACCAATACTAATACTACTACTAATAATACTAATATTATTACTAGTATTACTAACACTACTACTACTACTAGTACTCCTAATAATAGTACTAATAGTACTACTAATAATACTACTACTACTACTAGTACTCCTCCTACTACTACTACTAGTACTACTACTAATACTACTACGACTATTAGTACTACTACTACTAGTACTACTTCCACTAGTACTACTACTAATACTAGTACTAATACTACTACTACTACTACCAGTACTACTACTACTACTATCACTGATACTACTACTACTATTGCTACTACTAGTACTACTACTACTACTAGTGCTACTACTACTAATACTAGTACTATTACTACTACCACTACTACTAGTACTACTACTACTACTAGTACTAGTACTACTAGTATTACTACTACTACTTTTCTACTAGTACTACTATTACGACTAGTACTAATACTACTACTACTACTAGTAATACTACTACAACTTCTAGTACTACAATTAATACTAGTACTACTACTACTACTACAACTACTACTAGTACTACTACTACTACTAGTACTAGTACTACTAGTACTAATACTACTACTATTACTAATAGTACTACTAATACCACTAGTACTACTACTAGTACTAGTATACTACTACTACTACTAGTAACACTACTACTACTTCTAGTACTACTACTAATACTAGTACAACTACTACTACTACAACTACTACTAATAATACTACTACTACTAATATTACTACTACTACTACTACCACCAATACTACTACTACTAGTACTACTAGTAGTACTACTACTACTACAAGTACTACTACTAGTACTAGTATTACTACTATTACTACTATTACTACTACTACTACTAGTACTACTACTACTAGCACTGATACTATTACTACTATTGCTACTACTAGTACTACTACTACTACTAGTGCTACTACTAATAATACTAGTAATATTACTACTACCACTACTACTACTATTAGTACTACTACTACTACTAGTACTAGTACTACTAGTATTACTACTACTACTTTTCTACTAGTACTACTAATACCACTAGTACTACTACTACTTCTAGTACTACAATTAATACTAGTACTACTACTACTACTACAACTACTACTAGTAATACTACTACTACTAGTACTAGTACTAATAGTACTATTACTACTACTATTACTAATAGTACTACTAATACCACTAGTACTACTACTATTACTAGTACTACTACTACTACTACTAGTAATAATACTACTACTTCTAGTACTACTACTAATACTAGTACAACTACTACTAATAATACTACTACTAATATTACTACTACTACTACCAGTACTACTACTAGTACTACTACTAATACTACTAGTACTGATACTACTACTACTACTGCTACTACTAGTACTACTACTACTACTAGTACTACTACTAATAGTACTACTACTACTACCACCAATACTACTACTACTAGTACTACTAGTAGTACTACTACTACTACAAGTACTACTACTACTACTAGTACTAGTATTACTACTACTACTAGTACTACTAATACTACTAGTACTACTACTACTACTAGTACTACTAATACTAGTACTAATTATACTACTATTACTACTAGTACTACTACAACTACTACTACTAGTACTAATACTACTACTACTAGTACTACTACTAGTAGTATGAGTACTACTACTACTATTACCAGTACTAATAACACGACTACTACTACTAGTACAACTACTAGTACTACTAGTAATACTACTACTACTATTAATACTACTAGTAATACTACTACTACTAGTACTACTACTACTAGTACTACTACTAGTATACTACTACTAATAAAAGTACTACTACTGCTACTTCTACTTCTACTACTACTACTAGTACTACTATTACTACTAGTACTACTACTAATACTACTACTAGTACTACTACTAGTACTATTACTACTCCTATTACTACTACTACTATTCCTACCAATACTAATACTACTACTAATAGTACTAATATTATTACTAGTATTACTAACACTACTACTACTACTAGTACTCCTAATAATAGTACTAATAGTACTACTAATACTACTACTACTACTACTAGTACTCCTCCTACTACTACTACTAGTACTACTACTAATACTACTACGACTATTAGTACTACTACTACTAGTACTACTTCCACTAGTACTACTACTACTACTAGTACTAATACTACTACTAATACTACCAGTACTACTACTAGTACTACTACTACTAATAGTACTACTAGTACTACCACTAGTACTACTACTAGTACTACTACTAGTACTATTAATATTACCACTATTACTACTAGTAATACTAATACTAATACTACTAGTGCCACTACTACTACTAGTACTACTACTACTAGTAATACTACTACTACTTCTAGTACTACTACTAATACTAGTACAACTACTACTACTACAACTACTACTAATAATACTACTACTAATATTACTACTACTACTACTACCAGTACTACTACTAGTACTACTACTAATATTACTTGTACTGATACTACTACTGATACTACTAGTACTAATACTACTACTAGTACTACTACCACTAGTACTACTACTACTACCACCAATACTACTACTACTAGTACTACTAGTAGTACTACTACTACTACAAGTACTACTACTAGTACTAGTATTACTACTATTACTAATACTACTATTACTAATAATACTACTACTACTACTAGTACTAATACTACTACTACTACTAGTACTACTACTACTACTACTAGTACTACTACTACTACTAGTACTACTACTACTACTACTAGTACTACCACTAGTACTATGAGTACTACTACTACTACTACCAGTACTAATAACACGACTACGACTACTAGTACAACTACTAGTACTACTAGTAATACTACTACTACTACTAGTAGTAATAATACTAGTAATACTACTACTACCAGTACTACTACTACTAGTACTACTACTAATACTACTACTAGTACTACTACTAGTATACTACTACTAATAAAAGTACTACTACTGCTACTACTACTTCTACTACTACTACTAGTACTACTATTACTACTAGTACTACTACTAATACTACTACTAGTACTACTACTAGTACTACTACTACTCCTATTACTACTACTACTATTCCTACCAATACTAATACTACTATAAATAGTACTAATATTATTACTAGTATTACTAACACTACTACTACTACTAATACTCCTAATAATAGTACTAATATTACTACTAATACTACTACTACTACTACTATTAATCCTCCTACTACTACTACTAGTACTACTACTAATACTACTACGACTATTAGTACTACTACTACTAGTACTAATTCCACTAGTACTACTACTACTACTAGTACTAATACTACTACTACTACTACCAGTACTACTACTAGTACTACTACTACTAATAGTACTACTAATACTACTACTAGTACTACTACTAGTACTACTACTACTACTATTACTAATACTACTATTCCTACCAATACTAATACTACTACTAATAGTACTAATATTATTACTAGTATTACTAACACTACTACTACTAGTACTCCTAATAATAGTATTAATAGTACTACTAATAAATACTACTACTACTAGTACTCCTCCTACTACTACTACTAGTACTACTACTAATACTACTACGACTATTAGTACTACTACTACTAGAACTTCTTCCACTAGTACTACTACTAATACTAGTACTAATACTATTACTACTACTACCAGTACTACTACTAGTACTACTACTACTAGCACTGATACTATTACTACTATTGCTACTACTAGTACTACTACTACTACTAGTGCTACTACTAATAATACTAGTATTATTACTACTACCAATACTACTACTATTAGTACTAATACTACTACTAGTACTAGTACTACTAGTATTACTACTACTACTTTTCTACTAGTACTACTAATACCACTAGTACTACTACTACTTCTAGTACTACAATTAATACTAGTACTACTACTACTACTACAACTACTACTAGTACTACTACTACTACTAGTACTAGTACTAATAGTACTATTACTACTACTACTACTAATAGTACTACTAATACCACTAGTACTACTACTATTACTAGTACTACTACTACTACTACTAGTAATACAACTACTACTTCTAGTAATACTACTAATACTAGTACAACTACTAATACTACAACTACTACTAATAATACTACTACTAATATTACTACTACTACTACCAGTACTACTACTAGTACTACTACTAATACTACTAGTACTGATACTACTACTACTGCTACTACTAGTACTACTAATACTACTACTAGTACTACTTCTACTAGTACTACTACTACTACCACCAATACTACTACTACTAGTACTACTAGTAGTACTACTACTACTACAAGTACTACTACTACTAGTACTAGTATTACTACTACTACTAGTACTACTACTACTAGTACTACTACTACTACTAGTACTACTAATACTAGTACTAATAATACTACTATTACTACTAGTACTACTACAACTACTACTACTAGTACTACTACTACTACTACTAGTACTACTACTAGTAGTATGAGTACTACTACCACTACTACCAGTACTAATAACACGACTACTACTTCTAGTACAACTACTAGTACTACTAGTAATACTACTACTACTACTAGTAATACTACTACTACTAGTACTACTACTACTAGTACTACTACTACTAGTACTTCTACTAATACTACTACTAGTACTACTACTAGTATACTACTACTAATAAAAGTACTACTACTACTACTTCTACTTCTACTACTACTACTAGTACTACTATTACTGCTAGTACTACTACTAATACTACTACTAGTACTACTACTAGTACTATTACTACTCCTATCACTACTACTACTATTCCTACCAATACTAATACTACTACTAATAGTACTAATATTATTAGTAGTATTATATACACTACTAATACTACTACTAGTACTCCTAATAATAGTACTAATAGTACTACTAATAATACTACTACTACTACTAGTACTCCTCATACTACTACTACTAGTACTACTACTAATACTACTACGACTATTAGTACTACTACTACTAGTACTACTTCCACTAGTACTACTACTACTACGAGTACTAATACTACTACTAATACTACCAGTACTACTACTAGTACTACTACTACTAATAGTACTACTAGTACTACCACTATTACTACTACTAGTACTACTACTAGTACTATTAATATTACCACTATTACTACTAGTAGTACTAATACTAATACTACTAGTGCCACTACTACTACTAGTACTACTACTACTAGTACTACTTCTACTACTAGTACTACAACTAATACTATTACTACTACTACTATTACTAGTACTAATATTATTATAATTAATATTACTAATACTACTACTACTACTAGCATTAATAATACTGCTACTACTAATACTACTGCTACTAGTAGTACTATTACTAATACTAGTACTACTACTACTAATACTACTACTCTACTACTAGTATTACTAATACTACTAGTACTACTACTACTACTAGTACCACTACTGTTACTACGACTACTACTAGTACTATTACCAGTACTACCAGCGCTAATATTAACATTAATAATACTATTATTACTACTTGTACTACTACTAATACTCTTTGTACTACTACTACTACCCGTACTAATACTACTAGTAGTACTACTACTAATACTACTAGTACCACTACTACTACCACTACTACTACTACTAGTACTACTACTAATACCACTACTACTACTAGTACTACTACTACTAGTAATACTACTACTAGTATTACTACTACTAGTACTACTACTAATACTACTAGTACTACTACTACTACTACTACTACTAGTATTACAAATACTATACTACTACTAGTAATACTACTACTACTAGTACTAATACTAGTACGACTAATACTATTACTACTAGTACTAGTACTACTAATACTACTACTACTAGTACTACTAATACTAGTACTACTACTACTAGTACTACTACTACTACTACTAGTACTACTATTACTACTAATACTACTACTAATACTACTACTAGTACTACTACTAGTACTACTACTACTCCTATTACTACTACTAATATTCCTACCAATAATAATACTACTACTAATAGTACTAATATTATTACTAGTATTACTAACACTACTACTACTAGTACTCCTAATAATAGTACTAATAGTACTACTAATAATACTACTACTACTACTAGTACTCCTCCTACTACTACTAGTACTACTACTAATACTACTACGACTATTAGTACTACTACTACTAGTACTACTTCCACTAGTACTACTACTAATACTAGTACTAATACTACTACTACTACTACCAGTACTACTACCAGTACTACTACTACTACTATCACTGATACTACTACTACTATTGCTACTACTAGTACTACTACTACTACTAGTGCTACTACTACTAATACTAGTACTATTACTACTACCACTACTACTAGTACTAGTACTACTAGTATTACTACTACTACTTTTCTACTAGTACTACTACTACCACTAGTACTACTACTACTACTACTATTAGTAATAATACTACAACTTCTAGTACTACAATTAATACTAGTACTACTACTACTACTACAACTACTACTAGTACTACTACTACTAGTACTAGTACTACTAGTACTACTACTACTACTATTACTACTAGTACTACTACTACTAATAGTACTACTACTACTACTAGTATTACTACTACTATAATACTACTAGTAATACTACTACTACTAGTACTACTACTAGTACTACTAATACTACTACTACTAGTACTAGTACTACTAATACTACTACTACTAATACTACTAATACTAGTACTACTACTACTAGTACTACTACTACTACTACTACTAGTACTACTACTACTACTACTAGTACTACTACTACTACTACTAGTACTACTACTAGTACTATGTACTATTACTACTACTACCAGTACTAATAACACGACTACTACTACTAGTACTACTACTAGTACTACTAGTAATACTACTACTACTACTATTAATACTACTAGTAATACTACTACTACTAGTACTACTACTACTAGTACTACTACTAATACTACTACTAGTACTACTACTAGTATACTACTACTAATAAAAGTACTAATACTACTGCTACATCTACTCCTACTACTAGTACTACTATTACTACTAATACTACTACTAATACTACTACTAGTACTACTACTAGTACTACTACTACTCTTATTACTACTACTAATATTCCTACCAATATTAATACTACTATAAATAGTACTAATATAATTACTAGTATTACTAACACTACTACTACTACTAGTACTCCTAATAATAGTACTAATAGTACTACTAATAATACTACTACTACTACTAGTACTCCTCCTACTACTACTACTAGTACTACTAGTAATACTACTACGACTATTAGTACTACTACTACTAGTACTACTTCCACTAGTACTACTACTATTACTAGTACTAATACTACTACTACTACCAGTACTACTACTAGTACTACTACTACTATTGCTACTAATAGTACTACTACTACTACTAGTACTACTACTACTATTACTAATAATACTACTACTACTACTAGTACTACTACTACTACTAGTACTACTACTACTACTAGTACTACTACTAGTACTATGAGTACTACTACTACTACCAGTACTAATAACACGACTACGACTACTAGTACAACTACTAGTACTACTAGTAATACTACTACTACTACTAGTACTAATACTACTAGTAATACTACTACTACTAGTACTACTACTACTAGTACTACTACTAATACTACTACTAGTACTACTACTAGTATACTACTACTAATAAAAGTACTAATACTGCTGCTACATCTACTACTACTACTAGTACTACTATTACTACTAATACTACTACTAATACTACTACTAGTACTACTACTAGTACTACTACTACTCCTATTACTACTACTACTATTCCTACCAATACTAATACTACTACTAATAGTACTAATATTATTACTAGTATTACTAACACTACTACTACTACTAGTACTCCTAATAATAGTACTAATAGTACTACTAATAATACTACTACTACTAGTACTCCTCCTACTACTACTACTAGTACTACTACTAATACTACTACGACTATTAGTACTACTACTACTAGTACTACTTCCACTAGTACTACTACTAATACTAGTACTAATACTATTACTACTACTACCAGTACTACTACTAGTACTACTACTACTAGCTCTGATACTATTACTACTATTGCTACTACTAGTACTACTACTACTACTAGTGCTACTACTAATAATACTAGTATTATTACTACTACCAATACTACTACTATTAGTACTACTACTACTACTAGTACTAGTACTACTAGTATTACTACTACTACTTTTCTACTAGTACTACTAATACCACTAGTACTACTACTACTTCTAGTACTACAATTAATACTAGTACTACTACTACTACTACAACTACTACTAGTACTACTACTACTACTAGTACTAGTACTACTAGTACTAATACTACTACTATTACTACTAGTACTACTAATACCACTAGTACTACTACTACTACTAGTACTACTACTACTACTACTAGTAATACTACTACTACTTCTAGTACTACTACTAATACTAGTACAACTACTACTACTACAACTACTACTAATAATACTACTACTAATATTACTACTACTACTACCAGTACTACTACTAGTAC